CTGCCTATCAAATGAAGGAAATTGCGCACTGTGGGAAAATATTTGCTCCGCAACGTGATATATCCAGCGGGAGATGCACTAGTCAAGCGATAATAATTCACGCTGGATACGCGAACGGGAAATTATCCCGTGTCGTTCCGCGCTGGTCGTAATAACGTAGATTACAGTAATCCGAGGAAAGTGTCTGATCGCAGTTTTTCCTCGCTAACAAGATGCGCGCGGACAGCTATATACGCGGAATTTTTTTATCGGACGTGCCTTTTCGTAACAAGGAAATTGTAAAAGATGTATCTGCGAGGAGAAAGAAAAGAAACGAGAGACTTAATCGAATCGGGGATGCGCTGCATCGAGTGGGATAAGTTGCTTAATAAAAATTGGAGAAAAGAAATCCGCTATTCTTTGCCACTTTAAAACTTTTAGCATCGAATGTCTCGTTATTAATGAAGTCTCGCGAGTGAAACTTCTACTAAAGTAAAATGCGCGCGCGAAATTCAATTAAATGCTTATACTTTTCTAAATTATTGATCAATACCGTTCAATATCAAATAAATTCTGTAATAAAAAACTCTCTATTGCAACTTTAATATGTGCGCCAGTCACAGAGAAATAATTTCCATTAAAAATAACATTAATCGTTATACAAAACGATTAAAAAAATATAATATTTACAACAACATTTGCTCAGAATTAAGTAGAAAAAGAAATTTTATTGCATTGGGATTGATACTGGAATTTTACTCGTAAAAAGTTACTTTTATTTTAATTCTACTAAGATTTACACCTCTCTATATATCTTTGTTTGACGAATATCCGTTTGAGGAAAGAAAGTGCGATGCTCTCGGGGAATGTTGTGTAAAATTCGCGCTTTTTCCTGTTGCAAGGGCGCGCAATAAAACTGAAAGAAGTTGCCCCGACGTATCGCGCAACTCGTAATCCTCTGAAAGCACTTGGCCGTCGTATACATACAATCGCACTTCGACGTCGACGATTTCGCCGGTAAGCGTAAGGCCAATAAAGCAATGATGATGCCACGCGAGCGTGGTAACTCCGCAGGGATTAACAGACGCGGATATTTTTGCGAAACGAAAAACACCGGGCGATACGAAGGCGTGAGCTTCAGAGGGCTTCAGAGGGCCATTGACGGGCTCCGCTTATCATTCCGCGGCTGTAACCTCGGGATCGGGATGAATAGAGGAGCAAACCGGCGGAACAAACTTCCCATAAAGGTATAGACCGACGAAGTAATATCGGTTTCAAAACTTATTGAACATACAAAGCATCAACGCAGTAGATACATCTTATTATTCTTTATTGAAATAGAATTGGTATTGAAAAAGGATCAGAGAAAGAGAGAGAGAAAATATATATTTCGGTTTTAAATAAAAATGAGAGACAATTATTTTCGCGTATAATAAAATTATATACAAAATTAAAAAGCTTATGAGAGTTTTGCTTCAAGATTTTTTTTAATAGAAAATTTTACGAGTTTATTAACTAGTCGCTTTAAATAATTCTAATTGGAAAAAATAAATATAATTAGAGAAGTATTGAATTACATGTATAGAAATAACACCGCATTTTACAACGTTTTAAAGCTATTGTATTTTTTTTTGTACTTTCATTAGCTTTGAAAAATATAAATGTTCATCTTTTTTTGTTTTTATTTTTTATCGCAGTATTTTTATTACAGATTTATGCAACTTCTTTCTTTCTGTGTATATACACGCGCGTATGTGTGTAATGGAAATTTTTACGTTTTTATTCAAAGTTGATTATAATATATTAATGAGGTAAACACTTAATCTTCCGTTAAAGATTACGAAACTTTTAAAAGAATTTAAATTGCAAATATTTTCTTTTTAAAATATATTCGCAATTCTTTCTTACTAAAAATGAATCTTTTATTTTTTGCGATGTACGTGCGAACGAGAGATGGATTAAAAGCCCGGCAAACAAAAGCGCAGAAGCACTCCGAGGTCGCAAAAACTCGACGCCAGCAATTAAGACTTATATCGGTCGGTGATCGATAACGAGGGTAATCGTCAAGGATAAGGATTCAGAATGTTACGCGGAATTTAAGCAGATTTTGCACCGTACGCGCAAGTTAATTGAGTACATCGGCCGTGTAAATTAATAGCAGAAATCGCTCGGGCCGACGACGCGGAGCGCTGCTAATCTGATTTTAATCCTTTACGCTGTAATCGTAATAAAAACGGTCATACGCCGTTATCAAGTCTAACTAATTTACATTAACTTCCTGGCAGCCGCGGTGTGAGTTATCTGATTTCGCTTGCAACTGTAGGAAAGCTTCAATAACTGCGCCAACGGCGCACGGTAATAATAAGCTCCGTTTCCGACTTCGGGACAACAAAACGCATCTATATCCGATAAGCGAATAATCTCCATTCAACTAAGTTGTCAATGAAATTTATTCAATAACATTGATAATTACTCATTTGTCACGAGAGATAATGATAATAAAATCAATGACGATAAAATATCAATTTCTCTAAAATTAAATTCCTCGGATTGCCGATTCGCGGAATAATCGAATCGATATGTTATGGATGATTGGTTAGGTAAAATAAATAAATTCAAATTAATACACGCGACAGATATAGTCGTTCACGAACAAACAATTAATAATGTACAGCATGTAATCACGCAATGCCCTGTTCTGTCGCGCATTGTCGTAAAGCCCTATCGCAAGCGAGCTCACCGTATCACACGAAGGACAATATTTCTCGTCCCTGTAAAGCCGTCTGAGACCGTTCGAATCGTTCCCCCGGCAAATCAACGCGGCATTTAACGTACCGATTCGAAGATTCGTCGATATTCACGATGGCTGCCGCAATTCGTCATTCAATATACAGTCGAGATACAGGCGAAATAAACGCCGGGAGACAAGCCGCGCCTCAAGTAAACGAACAAACGAATGAATGAAACGGGGTGGGGGAAATCGCGCCTGCGTTCGCGCTCATTAATCATTCCTGACGTTCGCACCTTCGTGAGAGTCCTCCTTTTTCCTCTCATCGCACACTTCGGTTAAAGAGAACAGCTACCCCACTCGTTTTTTTCAGCGCGAAGATCCGCATCGGCTACTCCGGCCGCTACATACTACTCCCACCCCCAGACCCCTCCCGAGTTAACTTTGACCGATGCAATAAAGCCGCGAGCCACTTTACGGAAACGGGGAAAATAGATTCGGGCGGGGAGAGCGCGCGCGAATCTCTTTCTCTCTCTCTCGACACCAATCTGAGATATTCTTCGCGGGGGAGGGGGGAGAGCGAAGTTTTTCGCCAAGTTCATGATTAAACTTTAGGTATTCCTCGAATTTATCAGGCAGCGCGATTGGGGCTGAAACCCTACGAAAGATACGTAATATATCCTCAATCCGCCAACCTTTGCCGAGCAAATCAGATTTTTGTTCGGCAAAACTTACATTAAACGGTTTCCCGATGTCGCGCGGTCATTTTCGACTTCTTAGCTTTGAAAAATAAACATGTATTTCATAAAGCGTGTTACATTTTAATAGTTCATCTATGTTTGAATGTTTTTTCGCTGCGTGCCCCGTCGCGCGCGGTGAGTTTTATTCGCATTCCGCCAGAGATTAAATTACGAAGAGCTACAATAGAGAGAGAGAGAGAGAGAGAGAGAGAGAGAGAGAGAAATAACAGAGTACAACGAAAGAAATTCAGGACAGATGTCATCGTTGTACTCTATGATAGTAATTACGCCTGTCCCGGAGTTGTTTTTCCAACAACTGGCGCAATAAAGTCGGGCTCGTATTTTGCAGGAAGACGCGGAGCGGCTGGCGGGTAAATCCGCACTCTCTGATTCGCGGCGCCAATTTTCCAATTTCGGCTAAAATCGCGGAAGTTGAAACTACGCTGTAATTGTCGCAATTAGAGTAGAATGGGGTAGAATTAAACAGTAATGCAGAATCGATGTCGAATGGCGGTCGGGATCCTTTTAGTTTTGTAAGCGCTACGGATTTGGATCGCTACGAGGTAAACAAAGTAAAATGTGGCGCTTTCGTTTCGGTCGACTGTCACATCTTCAACTTATGAAAACAAGTTCGTAGTTGGATAGAGATTGCTCATCCCATTCTGGCGCCGGCAATACGTAATGCATTTAGAAAGTAATATCGTTTCTTTCTTTTTTTTTTTTTAGGAAAGATCCGAAAGACGTTGGAAATATGACGTTTCACAATTCCTGCGTTGTTCTCGACAAATAAACAAAATTTGCGTCCGGCTGCTTTTCAGCAATTATATCTAACGTCGCTAAAAAGCGGCAGGCACTCGTAGAACGTTTCATCGCGGTCCCACGACGGGAGTTACCATCGTCTACAAGTAGCTTGCAGTCACCGTAATAAGACTGCGAGTTGAGTTTTCAAGAAGATAAATTCAAGGAGCGTAGGAGCAAAGTAATGTTTTTACAGTGATGCGCAAACCATAGAAACGATATTGACCAAATTCTCTTCGTTGCGTTGAAGTAGAACTCAATTTTTTACGATGTATAATATTTAATTCTCGTCTTATTTAATATTTGAGAAAGAAGGGAGGAGGGGAGAAACAGAGGAAGAGAAAAGGAAGAATAAGATCCGGCTAAAAATGTCAATTTACTCAGCAAGAAAATCTAAATAATGAATTTCCACGCAAATGCCAATTTTATCATGTTATTTATGCTGCCAAATTTGCGGATTATCATACAAATGAAAACCCCAAATAAAAGATAAACCTAAAGTTGTGAGATATGTGGGAAAAATTGCAATTTGTCAGGCTTGATAAATTACGTTTCACGCAGTGATGAAAATCGTTCTTGGAATTAACTTTTCGGATTAAAAGAAGTTCAGCTATGCTTTCTCGTTTTTCCACATCGGCTGCGAAGAGCTTGAGGTTGTAGAAAATCTCCGGGAAAGAAACAAACGACCGGAACAAGTAGTGAACGGACGACATGGTCAGACGTCGCGCGCGTTCGCTCGCTGCTTTCATACTTACTTAACGTCAAACTGCCGCCGATCTCTCGACATCCCCCTGACCACTTCATCTTGCGGCAATCTGCGGGACCATTCAAAGCGATCGCACGGCTCGGTAAACACTTGCGTCACTCCAAAATCAATCGCGTCGAATTTCTCGCTCAGCGACCCTCTACGCGCGGATCTATCTATACGATCGATATCGTAGATCGTCCGCCTCGATATTTCCTCGTCTCTTTTGCCTCGCCGGTCTTCTCGCGTCGTTCGCTTCTATACGCGAGATCCTCTCCCGGCGGATCTCTCTCGCGATCTCTCGGAGATCCTCCTCCGAGATTCGGGGCACGTTCGCGGGCCACGAAGAACGCGTTTGACGAATTTTTGAAAATCGAGCGCTCGGCTCGCGTGTCAGCGCGACGTATATATACGCGACGAAAGGAAGGCGAGAGAGACGGGAGAGGGAGGGGAAAAAGGAGACAGAGAGGGAGAGGAAGAGAGAAAGAGAGCCGGCGAAGTCCCGAGGGACGATCGAGAGGAGCGAGAGAGAATCGTCCCGGACGCGTCGCGAGTGACGAGCGCACTGAGGATCCGGGCGGCCCGTGCGATTGCAGCCGCATGCGCGATGCAGGACGCAGGCACGTCTCGCCGGCTCCCGATTGTGTCCTGCTCTGTCCCGCCGCGCCGCCCGCGCCCGTCCGTCGCCGGCGCGGATCCCTCGCGTTCGCAGGTCGTCAAGATCTCAGGACGGGCATGAGAGGCGCGTGGACGTGTGTACATACATAACGTCCACCCGGAGGGTCCTGCATTCGACGCGGGTGAATAAATCGAAGCGAATGGCCGGGAGAAGGGACCGTGTAACCCAGAGACGTGAACCTTAGAACGACGCGTTTAAGGGCTTTGCTCCTTATGTCGCTTCAAATAGATATAAACTGTCAATAGTATTGACAGTTTTCGCATAAGAAACCTGTTCGGCTTTTATGTACTTTATATTTTAGATTTAACAAATATGTATCGAACAATAGATTGCGGAATATTCTCCTGTGGAGCAGGCTTGCTTAAAACAAATTCGTCATGTAAATCACTTGACAGAAGCTTCGCGTGACAAAAGTTGTTTTTAGCTTTTCTCTCTAACAATTCATCTGGAACTCAAAAATATTTATTAATACCAAAATAAACTAAAATATTTTAATATTGGTTGCTGTATGCACAATATATTCATAAATTATTATTGTGTATTTACTTTATACCTCTATTACTTATTTTATATATTTCTATTATACATAATATTATCACAATACTTAATTGGAAAAAGATTTCACACAGAAACGCTGTAAGTTGTTTTTTGTTTGTATCTCCTCTAATGCGTTTCTTCATAGCTTTTGTCGGTTTTTTGACTATATAAAACGCTGTTTTTTCAAACTCAGAACTGAATTTGCCAACTACACGACCATTTTTGCACGGGTCACTCTGCGTTTTCGAAGGGAGTCTTTTGTTTAATAATTGAAAAATTCAAAATGCTTTCCTCCTCATTCAATATTTTGACTTAGGTTTCCGCGCTCGCCAGACTCGCCGCTGTACTTTCCGTCATGCCTCATCTCACACATACATATATATATACGTATGTAGACTCACGCCGAGAGATATTGGTAATATTATTTTCATACTCCCCAGCTGCGCCTCGCCGATAAAAGTACAGGACGGAGTTCGCGACTCGTCCGAGAAGACCCGGCTGGACCGCCGAGGAAATTTCTCCGGCGTGTCCATGAAGAAGACCCGACTCGGGTCAACCGAACTGTTTGCGAACCGTTCCCGAGTGATAAAGTTCCCGTTGATACGAGAAATTATTCTGAGCGGATAGTAGAGTGACTTTGACTTGCACATACCGTCGTCGATATTCTATCTCTCATCGGGTTCCCAGCGAGTCATTGGAGTGAATTATTACATTCGTATATACATATACAATTACGTAAAATTAATTTAAGAAAAAAAACGGAGTTAATAAAAGAAATTATATTTAGAATACTCGTCAGTAAACGACGGGATGAAAGGACGCAATAGTTGAATAGAATTAAAGTTAATTAGTCGGTATGGCATTTTGCAGATGTCTAACTGAACGTTTATTAATACCAACCTCGTCATTTAGCTTTTGCGTTTTAAGCCGGTGCATGTATTCCTTTATTTTTCCCCAAAATAATTGAATTTCATTGCGAGAAACACGTTCTGCGCAATTTAGGATTAAACTGTGTATCCGAATATACGATAAACGTTAATACGCCGGTATTTAAAGAGTGATTATTAATTATAAAATATAAAATGTGTGGAATAAATCTAATGCTGGGAGAAATACCTATCTGAGCGAGATTGAAATTGAAGGGCCGAAAAATGAGGGGGAAAAATGTTCTCATTCGTTCATGTGCGCGTTCAAAACGAAAATAATGAACGCGTATTCGCGCGTTTGTATTTTTCAATTTTTCGAATTTAATTCGGAGATCCTTGGGAAGAGCGAGATATTCAGATTCACGTCTGATTTTACGCCGTATCTTAGTCCTGTATTTGAGCGCACGAGCATGTCAACATATTGCGAATGTCCGGTAATGTACGCAATAAAACATTCGTCGACTTTTTATATGTCCACGTCTCGATGAAGGATACCCGGGAGGGAGGATTGCCCGACTTTTTATCCGACTGCGTTCAACGAAATTCTGTCGCATCCGCCCACACCTAAGTATTTCGTACAAATTGCACGCCGCGCGCTTCCGCACGTATCAATATATCAAAGGGTGACGTTAACCGTGTTCGCGGAATCGCCCACAAAGCGTCACATTCATCTTAATTGGTGGAGCGCGTCTACCAGTAATTACAAACAATTATAATTTGCATCACACAGACGCGCGTTGAGTTAGCGTAGCAAGATACATACATTGTGGTGACGACGACGCGTAAAATGTATAATACATGTAACAAATTATGTATGCATGTGTACGGCGTGTTGCAATTGTGAATGCATTCTAATTTGCAACCAATCTTGTCTTATATAATAATCGTCTTTTTTTTATTCTTACTCATTCTTGCGTTTGTTAACAAATTTACAAATAAGTAATGTGGAAAAATAAAAAGTAATAAGTAATAAAACGATAAATAATAATCAATAATAAAATTCAAATTCTTGTACTTATACATATAAAAAATAAATTTTTAATTTATCCCGTTTAATACATTAATTGAAATTAATTAGAAAAATATTTAGCTCTGTTGTTCAACAAGTTTCCGGTTTACATTCGGACCTTAAAATAAAAATTCGAGTCGGATTCTGTTATACGCTTGAACCGTTCAGTACATTAGTACTATTAATATAACGTACTCTCTAAATTTTCTGGAGTGAATCACACTCCAAAAGAGTGAAAGTTCATTCCAGAAAATTTAGAGAATATGAAAAATACATTTTTAATTTATCCCGTTTAATACATTAATTAAAATTAATTAGAAAAATATTTAACTCTATTGTTCAACAAATTTGGAAATTTCCGGTTTACTACATTCGGACCTTATTGAAAATTCGAGTCGTAACTCCGTTATACGCTCGTGCCGTTCAGTACGTTAGTACTATTAGGGGTGTCTCTCTTAAGCAATATTCGTACTCGCGGCTGTAGCAACGCCGGGAGTTTACAGATTGGTGCCCACACACGAATCGCTGCGCCGGAGATGGGCGACATATTCCCCCGGAACTAACAAACAAAACTTCATGTGTGACCGCGGCACTGAATGGTACTGCAATATATTGCGATTCACCCGGTCAAAGTTCATGTAAGTAAAGGTCGCATGGTGGATGCACCATGCTGATGCACCGGAAACGGGATCCATCATGAATATACCTCTAGGGAAACGTCGATCGAGTTTCCCGAGTCAAGATCGTGAGAGGACAGTTATTTTGCATCTGTGAAGGTACTGATTATATCATATATTATCGTAGGCAAAGTTAATCCGAAAAAATTAATTCGTTCCATCCTGTTTTCTATTTTTCTATTTTTTTCGGTAAAAATATAAAAAGAGAATCACAAGCTTCGAATTTCTTTCAAAAATCATAAGATTAAAATTTCGAATCGAGTTTTCTACAATATTACTTTTGGATATGTGTAAATTCTCTCTCTCTCTCTCTTCTTCAATATAAAATATTAAAAAAAATTAGACACAATTTCCTCAAAAGCCATATTTTTGTACTAAGCTCTATCTCTTTTTCGCAAATCCATATTTTTGATTAACCTCAAGCTTGTCAAGAAACTAGATCGATGCTTTCCGCCTACGCCCAAGCGAAACAAGCATGCATCTCCAAGGTGTCTGAACAAATTCCAGCGGACGTATTGCGCGATGGTGCAATAAGTGCGCAGAGTTTACGGGCCTTAGGTATCGGTCTGGGTCGAGTGTCAATTAGAACTTCAAGGGCCGCTGGCACGGAAGTTCGAGCAAACGTCGAGTACAAAGTGCAGCCTTAACTCGCGGTATTCTGTTAATATTTATGTTGCACACTTGTATGTAGGTCGCGGTGAATACCGTTGATAAAGCTGCCAGGTTGGAGAAGAGAGAGAAAGAGAGAGAGAGAGAGGAGAGAAAGAGGGGTGAAAGAAGCCGTGCGAGATTTCAGGGGAAAATGGCCAAGAGAGCCAAGAGAGAAGATAAAGAGATTGATGCGCTCGGATACGCTTTAGAACAAAAAAACATCGTGACGCCACGTCGCCGAGCGCCCGCCGCGGCGATATTATCGTGTACCAACAAATATTTCATGCTTACACGCGAATTTATCCTTGACCAAGCTTTCATATGCTGTAATTGTGAAGCGGCTGCAATTAAAATTACGCGTTGCGCAAAATGATGTTACTACGACTTATCTCTTTGTTTTACGTTGTATATTAAATGAGATATCAGAATTTTTAAATCAAACTTGTATTGAAAAATTAACGCAAAAGTCGGCGAATACGTCCCAGATCTTTTATTTATAAGAACGCAATGGAAGACCATTTCTTGAAAGATTCTGAAAATTTTAATCCATTTGGCCTTTTTAATTTAAACAATTAATTTTTCGCGTCAGATCGATGTCATTAAAAATAAATGTAATTATGACCAAAGAATTATTTACTTTACATAAATACATTGGTTATTGTGCGTATTAACGGGATGTATTTGAAGATCACGTACACATACACTGCGATTACATTTCGGTCTTTCATCATTTTCCACATGCCACGTGCGTCGGAGCACGCGACAAAAGCGAAGCAAGCACCGCAGTTATGTTCCCAATTCCGTTAATTGCATGACTCGGTCATAACAATTACGTCGGCCGACTAGTATTTCTATTGCGACGAAATTGCGGGCGATCTTCGAAGAGTTTACCATCTTCGAGCGACTGGGTATATAATGATATTAGGTGTCTCAACAATCATATTAATTATCATCTCTCTAAATTTTCTGGACTGAGATTTCACTCCAAATTGATTGAATTACTAATTATACTAATTGTAAGTGAAGATGATAGAT